AGTGATGCTAATGGATGACAGTCTGTCAAGAAGAGTACTGTGAGAGATGGTGTCAGATGCTGCTGTGAGGTCGAGTTGAATGACTTTGGGAAGTAGGCCAGAGTCAGAAGCTATGACGACGTCGTTGTTGATTTCAAGCTGGGCTGGTTCAATGCTGTGGAAGGAGGGGGTGGGGGCAGATTGAAACTGCGCATCGATGTTGCTTGAGATGAGGTTGTTATGAACTTGGGTGGCATCTGATTTTTCTAAAATTTGGGGGATAAAAGTACGTTTTGAAATGGGTTGATTGGGTGTAATACGTGCATTTTTGAGAGTGGGGTCGCGTGGGTAGGAAATGCTATTAATTAGGGAGGGGGTGAAGAATGTTCGTGAGGAGGGAAACAAGATTTTTACAAGTGCAGTGGGAAGTGGCTCAATTTGGCAAGTTGTGGGTTTAAAATTACTAATGACCTCAGATATAGCGTGGGTAGAAGGGAGAGTAAAGTTTGTGGTCGTGGGGAGTTGGATGGGGTCAACTGAAGCTGTGCAATAGGATGAATATTACTGATTTTGGAAGGAAAGAAATAAGAAATATAGTTGCAGAGGTCAGAGATCTCTGCACTGTGAGGTGGATGTCACCAGTCAACCACCGTGCCACCACAGATAAAATCCAAGTAAAATGCAGTGGCAACTGGTGCATTATCCGGCAAAATATAACGATATACAGTCAAACCTCGGTTTTCGAACGTCTCGATTCTCAACCAATTCAGTTTTCGACCAAAAATTTCAAGTTTTTTTTATGCCTCGGATGACGAACAAATTTCGGTTCTCGAACAAACTGAGCGCACTGGAAGGCACCACTTGACTCCTCTCGCCTTCCTTACACGAGGAAGTGACGCTTCCTCGGGTAGACGAGGAAGTGACGCTTCCTCGAATCGCTTTCCATTGTGAGCAGACGTGTTCAATAAACATTTTTTTTTAAAAAGAGCGTGGTTTTGGTTTTCGAACAGCCTTCTGGAACGGATTATGGACGAAAACCGAGGTTTGACTGTATACAGCCAGAAAGTCTGTACATGATAAAAGCCGATGGTAAAAGTAGCTCAGTGGCAAGCAGTGGTAACGAGCATGCCAGTGTTTGCTCAAACCCGAGGTTGTACTGTTCAAATTGTTCCAAAATTGTCCAGCATGCCGAGAAATATTTGAAACCTTGAAGCAACATCTGGTGAAGCTTGACGTTCTTGGACATCCTGGCTCAACTCACAATTTGTGGTATCAGCGACGCTAGTGAGATCAGCCTGGATGAAGAGTGCATTCCTTGAGACGAGTTTGGGAAACATCAGTTCAAGCTTCCGGATGCAGGTTTGGAACTCCTTCTGCTCCGCGGAAAGGGCCCATTAATTTCATTTCACATGCAGCTTTTTTTTGCCATACTGTATTCACAAGACTTCCCTAGGTGCTCAACTCTGAAGTTCAAACCTTCTTCGTCTACCATGGGACCAATGGAATCCATCAGATCTGCTTCGGACTCTGTTGACAGTAATGCCAGAGACAACTGGTCTTCTTCGAAAGAGGCCTTCTGAATGAGGTCTTTGAACTTGTTTTTTTTTTCCGCACTCACCCGCAGATTTTTTTCAACTCGGCCTTTTGCCGGTCATTAAGTGCTCCTCCACTGAGCTCTCTGCACTGTATTGAGCTTCCGCATCATGGGCTTCAATGACTTTGTTTGCCTCAATTGTGAGCTTTGTAAAACTTTCCTTGACCTCCTTTTTCAACATCACAGTGTGCATTTTTATCACATTGTTGACTGTGAGATTTGACGCTATGCTCACGTTCTGCTGGATTTTAGCTGCTGCCGCATTACAGATTCTGCCATCTTAGGTTTTGCAGGATGCAGTTATGTTGAATTGACCTTGTCTTCTTTCAGGGTTGTTGGAGAATATCAGGCACTCATGGTTGTGGGATGTATGGATTTTTCCCTGTTTAAAGTGAAGTCCTTGTGGAGCTGTGCAGTTAGGTCTCTTTAGAACTTTATCAAATAATAGTTTGCAGCATATTGTGAATAATGTATGAGACTACTTTTACCTTATTTGTTGTAAGAAATTTATTAGAAATTAACGGTACATTTTTTTCCAGTTGATATCACTGCCAAAATAATTCCAATAAGAAATTACATATGTAACAGATATAAATTCTCTCTGAAATACTCTGCACGGACCGTCTTAAGCCTTTTCGCCCACTGCTGCCACAGCGGCGTAGAAGTTGTTGCAGTTCGAATAAGGTCTTCTGGCTTCAAGGCAAAGCAAGCTCAAAGCAAACAAATTATGGTCATATGTTGTTTTCCGAACGGTATTAAATACACACATCCGACTATCAGATAAAGTTTCATTTTCCATTTTTCAATTTGCAATTTTCAATTGAGAAACGGAAGATGGCTCGGATCCGTTCAACAGAGAAAGCGACACTGCATCTGTGCGGACGTTGGAGGGATGGCCTTTTCACACGTGGGAATATTTGAGATAATGTGTGCGTGAATATCTTGAAACAGTATGTGACGTTTGTCTAAAAAATAAATGGACTTCTCTGCTGATCCTACAACGCACATTCAACACTTCACAAGCAAAGTTGAATATTTACAAATGATAAGTCATAATAAATGCTCACATAACACTTAACAGTGCAGGTGTACATTGCACATATGTTTGCGAATCTCAAAAGCATGTGAACGTGTCTATTGTCGCGATGCTGAAGCCAGATTGGAATCAGCAAGTTCTCCATCAAAGGCAGGAGCCACTCAGATCAGCTGGAAATGATGTCGTCTGACACAAATCCATATTTTGGGGTTGAGAGGGATGAACAGTAAGTGAGGTCAAGCTTTATTGGCTGTGGGCGATGAAGTTTAGTGCCCAACGCTGCCAAACGTATGTTTATTGCACAAGGACCAGCTGCACATGTCAAACTTTTAACAAGTCCTTTGGAGTTGACTTGCGTGCCCAAACCAGAAGTTACATCATCATTTATGATGCCAGATGATAAACGGATCACTTTACTCAGTAATAACTCTGTACTATTTATCCTGCTGTTTTGAAAACAGATATACATTTATTTTGAAGGATTTTCATAATATTTAATTTTCACAAATTTTCATTGATTTCAAGATGATTCACGAGTTGCCACTGATGAAACATTGAACATTTTAACCCGCAAACCAATGTTTAACCCTTTCATGCATACTGTAACATGATAAGGTGTCCACTGTAGTAACCGCTGTCCATGAAAGGGTGTCAGAGATTTTCTCAAACAAGTTAAAGAAATGACTCAGCACACAGGAAAATTGTCTTCAATATCGGCGGGAGCGGATCTCTGAGAGCGAACGATGGTAGTTGCTTCGATGATCACACACTCCAGCTCCCTTCCCGCCAATTCAGACTTTTATTGGAACTGCCCCCGATATTTGCATACCGTAACCCCGGTCCAGCCCCTCGATAGTGATTGGTTACCTGTTTGTAAACTTTAAACCACCAGTAAGTTGGTGTCAGGTTTGGGGTCTGATTGCAGACCGAAAAGGAGTGTGGATCCCACAAATGCAGAGTCAGAGAAATGGTGATGACAAAAAGGTTTATTCGAGAAAAGCGAGGGACCGAACAAAGTATGCAACAAAAGGTGCTGGCAAAACAGGGAGCCAGAGAAATGGAACGAGAACACAAAGCACTTATCAATTACAAGGAGAGAATGATTTTCGAGAGTATAAAACAATAGAGGTTGGTTCAAATAACGAAACCAGGTTTGATAGCAAGAATATACAAATACTCACAACCCCCGAACGACTATGATGAGGAGGGGGACTAGAAGCAGAAGCATGAACGACACATAACAAAGCGCGTGGGCAAAGCGGTGAACAAGAGCAATAGTCCGACAAAGGAGACAGGTGGTGGTAGGTGTCTTTAATTTAAAGATGACAATACGCAAAAATCTACAAAAATTGTAGAAATTGTAACATATGGGGTAACCCATGTGTTACAAACATCATAGAAATTGCAGCACAAGGGTTACGTAGGCAGCACCGATTGCCTTGTTCCAGCACAGGTGCACCGCTGGAAGGTGACGCCCCACACTCCAGCTGGTGCTGAAACACTAAAGGAACAAAACTAGGACAAAGCAAACCATGACAGTTGGCGCCTTTTCTGTCTGGTCTACATCGAATTAACATGTTGCAGACTTTGCGGATGGCCAATGTCGCCTGGGCGCGACGGGTGTTCTCAACTTGTCTTTTGTTGTTCAACCGCTGTTCCCGAATTATTCATTCCCCTTTTGTGACCGAGTTTCGCCCTCTCCCCTGTGATCGCCCACCTGCGTTGACGTGCTAATTGTGGACTTCAACAGCCCTCCGGCCAGGTGGCCGGCACCTTTGTGCACAGGCATTTGGAAGTGTCGGATACGCACCCAAACGTTTAGATGTGCCCAAATTAAATGAAACTTTAAACATGATACAATTTTGCTCATAGATTCCTCTAACAAAGGGTTAATATTAACATGACACCATAAATGGCACAGAACTGATCAAATATTGAGAATCTTGATTCAACCTTGCTCGCAGCCAGGCAAATCACCTAAATAGGATATGAGCCTATAATTTTGCTATTGCAGTCAGGTGGTATGAACCCATTTTACAGCAAAGTCTCAGCTTGATCTGAGGAGATCAAGTTGCCATGACGACTATGCCTTGCTGGATTACTTGACCATTATTTCTGTCTGTACTTTGTGAATGATTGTTTTTTTTTTTACACCAAATTTCTGTTCCCCACTTCATTGCAATACACAACTTTTTTTTTTTAATGTCCTTTTTTTTTTTTTTTTTTAAGTTGCATACATTGACCAAATATTTGACTGTATGATTTGAATTATGGACCAACTAATTTGTACCCATGAGTGGTTAGTGTTTATGTAGTCATTTTTATTGAGTTAGACTAATTTGGTGTTGGCTGACCACCATTTAGAAGAGTGCATATGCACTCTGGTTTAGACACTGAGAGGATCGTGCACATTGGCTCCACCGCGTTGCGTGCGCAGCGTCGCCTCTTCCAAGCAAGCTCCCATTATTCTTCAGAAGGGCCGTTTTTTGCTCGATCGACTTTGTTGTCTCACTCGGATAGGAGAGGACCGTCTTTATTTCTTCCCAAGATGAACCAAACCGCTACGGTATCGCATCAAGTTAAATGCCAATCTACAAAGACAATTAAGGTAAGCGCTGATGACTTACTTTTGGTGGCATGTGGGGAAATCTCTTTCTGATGACTGAAACTCACGTGAAAAGTTACCCATCAGCCGAGATGCGCATTGTCGCGCAGCACTTTGGACATGATTAAGACACTAATATTTCTCTTGAACTAAGTTGTAGGCATTTCATTTGCCATGCCTTTGTCTTTGGTGATATATTTGCGTCGCGAACCATTTCCTTTCATTGTGAAACGGCGTTTGATTGTTGGCGTTTCAGGGTCGATGTGTTGAAAGCCCCGCTGACGCAGTGGCGAGATTTCATTCACATCACGTCGTATGCGTTCGTTATTATTAATATTTTGTTGTTGTGTATTCTGCTTGTACATTCGCCAACGGGATAAAATATAATATACACGAGGCGGTGAATATTGATTGATTTAGCTTTTGATGGAGTCTTTCAACAATCCTATTCATACTTAGTGTATGAAAAGAAGTGAAAGGAATCGCTGTGTGCTTCAGTCACGACTGAGAAGAATCTCTTCTCCATCACCGACCGCCTCATCCTCAATGTGTTCACTCGAAGGAGACTTACCTTTTGTCTCGGTGTGTGCGCGTGTTTCTTGCAAAGGCGCGCGCTTGCCCACTGTCACTGAACAGGGATATTGATTTTGCCGAGGGTACTTGCATCACTTTTCACCCCGGGGTCCCACTAGCGGAATTTAGCTTTGGGCAAATCTATTGATCCCTCCCAGTATCCCGTAGGTGCATACTTGTGGAATGCTGCATGGAAGGAGAGAGTTTAACGAGAGGCAGACAGGGACCCGATTCAAGATCAGATCTCTGTTGTTTCGGCTCCAAATGAATAAATATTTTTTGGATGCTAGAAAATAAAATATTCAATCTGGCGAATATTTTGCTACTGTGTGGTAATTCATATTTCGGTGCCCCAGCGTATCAGTGCACCTGATATTGAAATGATACAAATTTTGACACAAATTTTGAGAAATTGTAATGTTGGAGTCCAGTAATGAGCCACATTGGACATGAACATGGACACCTGGACATAAATTTACTTGTGCTGTAAAAATACTTTATTGAGCCATGGCATACATTTTACATTTGAAAAAAAGTACAACGTTAATCAATGTGTAACAGAAGAGCAATTTATTGGTGTTGTGGCAGAGATAAATGACCAAGGATACTGTTATGTCCTTGTTTCTCTGCCTGCCTCTTTTCAAAGTTTTCTTGTCAAGTGTGTTTATGTGAAACAGAAGCATAAGGACAGGGCTGGATGCTGACTCTGGTTGCCTTTCTCGGGTTCTGTTGTTCATAAGTCCTTGTTTATTGTAAGGCGGTTTTCTGTTCTTGTTGTCTGTATGTCCATTTAAGTGCTTTAGTGATCACTTTAATTTCCGTCAAGGTGTTGTCGTTACGCCGTGGCTCCATCCACCATTTTAGTTCATCTTTAGTATCAGTACTAGTTTTTTCCCTCTCAACATTTTCTCATTGTGTTTTTTTTTGTTTGCATCTTTTATTGTATTTTGTATGTTACAAGCACCTTCTGTTTTTTAATTTCTGTCATAGTTCGAAAAAGAACTGAAAAGCGATCGGATCCCACAAACGTAGACACCAGACAAAATCCGAAACAAGAATATTTATTCAGAAAAAGCTCACCGACAAATCCCTGGTCAACAATAAGCAGGAAACACAATACATTAACAAAAAGGAAGTAATTAACCCAAGAATACCAAATGAAATGTCAAGAGTCCAATTCTCTCGACAAAAGAAAAGCAAGATCAAAAGACGAAATAAAGACGATACTTTAAAAAAATGTGGAACTAAGAGAACAAGAATGACAATGATGAGAGCGAGAGGTCGAGAAATAAAACACAGCCACAAGTCCAATAATGCGAAAAGCTGCAGGCAGCTTGTCAGTCCTTCAATACTGTCACGTTTTGCTTGATAGTAGTTGTAGTAGGACCCCAAAAAGCAGGGACGAGCAGCGTGGATTAACCAAAATGTATTTAACAAAAAATACACACAGGAGTACAATGGAAAAAACACTAATCAAAAAATGCTTAGAAATAACAAGGAACAAACAAAACTAAGACAGGAGCACACGTATGCTCACATACGCTCACTGCTCACAATGACCCCAACCAAGACTGACAGAACTCGCGGAACTAAATACAAGCAAAGTGACGAGACAACGAGAAACACCTCAACAAGACAAACGGTTGAGGGAGCTAATTGGTAAGACCAGTGTTTTTCAACCCGTGTGCACCAGTGTGCCGCGGCACACGGGTTGAAAAGACATTCTCAGGTGTGCCGCAGGAAAATATCAAATTTGTATGCCTGTGCGGTCTTTCGCCCAGAAAGTAATCATGTAGTACCTTCCCATACTGCTAGGGAGCAGCAACAGCTAGCCAATTGCCTTGTGTTTCGACGAGAGACAAGCGAATTTGTGACGCATGAATGCAGAACGACGGTGAAACAATAAATATGAAAGATGATAAAATACTGTTTTCTTTGTGTTCATTTGATTCCAATTAAAGCTGTTATAACGTCATTCTTCAATGTTAAAAACGGTTATAGTAACAATATAACACGTTAATTGTTAAAATAAGCGGGGGGGGGTTCTCATTTTCAGCTAGTGGTGTGCTGCAAGATTTTTTTTAATGAAAGAAGTGTGCCTTGGCTCAAAAAAGTTTGAAAAATACTGGGTTAGACACAGGCCCACTGATAACGAGAACAGGTGGGGACAAAAGAGGGCACATGTGTTTACAAAACCAAATGCAACCAGACAGAAACATAACAAATACATGGCTAATGATCAAGGGCAGCAGGTGTGCACACTGAAGGAAAGGCCCTCGTCTGCCACCTGCTAGAGACACAGAGGAACAGGATCATAACAACTTCATTTTATCATATTCAATGTTGAGTCAGGTTTGGGCTCCAAGATTCGGCATAAAGCTACCGTAACCGATTCATATTCTTTTTTGGTGAATCATTTTGGACAGCTTACGTTAATTTAAATAACTTCTCGCAACCGCCTGGGAATCACTGCTGCAGTTGATCCGTCTGAGCTGTTGAACATTGCTTTTTCTTATCTTTCAACTGGATTTGCATTTCTTTGAGATTGTCACTGTCACTCCAGTTCCTTCCAATGTGGACGCTAAGGCATGACTCTTGATTATTGTATGTTGCCGTAACCTATTGCTGAAATTAACTCTTTCATTCCACAAGACTACTTGTCCGTCTTTTTAAAATTAGGCCCCGCCTACCAAGGACATACTTGTACGTCTAAGTCTTTTTTTTTTTTTTTTTTTTTGCATCATAGAGAGGAGGAGGGTCTGATGAAACTGTGAGTGAGAATAAGCCGTTTGCATTGTAAATCATGTAAAAAAGCAACCAGTAGGTGGCAGTGGTGCCTCACGTGCTTGAAATGCATGCTTTTATAAAAAGCTCTTTTTCTCAATTTTTTTGCCCAGGAATCGCCATTTTCATGAAATTTAGCCATTTTGTAATGCCAATTGCTGAAGAATGGAAAAAGATAGAAACAAATTTGTTTTTTCTGGTGAAAGAAGGGAGTCCAGACTTTACTTTGGTATGTTTATATAGCATTAGAACCAAATATTCTGTGGGCCTTGCAAGATCAGTCAAAATCCAGTAAAACACTGGGATTGAGGGGGTTGCTCCAGGGAAAATGGCTGGGATTGAATGAGTTAATAGGTAAACAAAACAGGATCAGGTATTATCTACAGCTGTAAATACTCGTTGTTTAGAATATTATATCTGCCTTTCTGGCAACTTAATTATAGTGTCCACACATGGTGGTCCTTTGCAATACCCAACAAAGGATGCCCACCAAGTTTTCTGAAATTCGAGGATTTCATTGATCACCAATATGTTCTTGGATATCCTTGTTGATGTTGGAACCTGAGAGTGTTACTTTGCGCAACAACAAATTCCTCTGGTCATCAGGCCCTGCAATATCTCAGACTGTTCAGTCAACATTTGATCATTTAAAGCATTTTGTAACCCTTTGAAAGCACTTTGTGCCGACCCTTCATCCATCCATTAATTTTCCGATCCGCTTTATCCTCACAAGGGTCGTTGGGGGTGCTGGAACTTAATCCCAGCTTTCTTCGGGGCAGTAAACGGGGGGACACCCCGAACCAGTTGCCAACCAATCACAGGGCACACACACACAGACAAACAACCATCCGTGCTCACACTCACACCGAAGGACAATTTAGAGTGTTCCATTAACCTGGCATGCATGTTTTTGGAATATTGGAGGAAACGGGAGTACCGGGAGAAAACCCACGCAGGCACGAGGAGAACATGCAAACTCCACACAGGGAGGCCGGAGCCGGAATCGAACCCTGCACCTCTGCACTGTGAGGTTGACGCGCTAGCCACTGGCCCACCGGGCCTCCCTTGTGCCGATCCTGATGACAGAAAAGACAAAAAAAATGCATCAGTCAGGTAATGTCACATGTGGCATGGACGGTTCCAGCTTCTTTGAATCAACAAAGACAAAACTGAGCTGCAAGCGAACACAGCGCAACAGAAATACAGTACATGAAAGTATGGATTTCTCCAAGTTTTATTCCCACTGTTTTTGACAAATTTATTTCCAGTTCCAGCCTTTGACTCTCGATGCGTGTGACGACCCCGCATGCACATTGGAAAATTGTACGGTCTTGTCATTTAAGTCATGATCAGTGGACCGTACATTATCGTTTGTGTTACTGTCATTTGCTTCGTGAATTAGTTGTTTGTTGACTTGCGGTATGAGTTTTAAATTTTAATTTAAACGTAGACTTTACTAGACAAAGATTCATTAGGGGTGTTCACACGGCAAGATTTGCTCCAGCGCTATGCCGGCGCTGCGCCAGTAGAGCATTCACACGTGCAAATTTGCTCTGGCGTAGCCCCGGAAAACAGCTTACACCGGAGCAAATTTGATCCACCTCAGGGAGGTGGTTTAAAAATTTGCTCCAGAGCAAATGCTCGTT